AAAAATTAATTAATTTACTTTTGGTTGCGTTGGGTCTTCGGTGCTGCGTGCGGGCTTTCTCTAGTTGCGGTGAGCGGGGACTGCTCTTCGCTGTGGTGCGCGGGCTTCCCATTGCAGGGGCTTCTCTTTGTCGTGGAGCACGGGCTCTAGGCGCACGGGCTTTAGTAGTTGTGGCACGCGGGCTCTGTAGTTGTGGCTTGTAGGCTCTAGAGTGCAGGCTCAGTAGTTGTGGCGCATGGGCTTAGTTGCTCCGCGGCATGTGGGATCTTCCTGGACCAGGGCTCGAACCCGTGTCCCCTGCACTGGAAGGCGGATTCTTAACCACTGTGCCACCAGGGAAGTCCCCGTGATGGTAGATCTTAACCCGTTGGTTGGCCCCAGAGACTGGCTGGCTTTGGGGGTGGGGGTGTGATATTGGGGACGGGGCCATGTCTATAGTGTGTAGATATTCCTCACCCCAGGACTCATGTCAGTCTGTGACGGCCTGCATCTATGTTTATGGGTGGAAGCCATATCCCTCAAGTTCAGATGGACAAAAGGAAGGTGAGATAGGTTCCTGAATCTTGTGTCAAAATGGTTAGGATGGCATAGGGACCTCCTAGGAGCCCTTTCTAAGAGCACAGCCTGGCTCTGGTGGAAAAAATGTACGTCTTGCCGACAGACGGCTCTGTGTGAATCTCATCTCTCCCCAGGAGTTGTTTTGTGACTTCTGGCAAGTCCTTTTTGTGACTTCTGGCAAGGCTTGGTTTCTTCATCTGCAAAATGGGGAGGATGATACCAAACTGTTATGAGTGGTGACATTGCTGGCTCTCCGTAAATGCAGTGATCTTTACTGATACCCATTCACAACTTTTTTGAACACCGACTATGTGCAGAGTCCGTCCTGGCTGGGAGTGGTAAAGGTCAGCAGAGTCAGAAGGGGTCCCTCTTTTCGTGAGGCTTGGAATTTGGATAATCTCAAGTGTGGTGAGGTTGGCCTGCAGAAGCTCCCTTGGAGCACACACTGCAGAACCAGGGAGGGAGTGTCCCTTCTGCTGCTGAGTTCTTCTGTCTCTCTCCCAGGTTTTGTATTTGGTGCTGGTTTGCCTTTGAAGAGGGTGTCTCCAAACCCAGACCAGGACTTGTGGTCTGGTGGGTGTGAGAGCGTGGCCTCAGTGAGAACAGGACTTGCTGCTGTTGGCTCCCATTTAGGGCAGGGCCTGCCATCAGACCTACTGCTGCAGCCTTGTCCTCCTCCAGGGTCTCCAAGACTGGGTGATGGCCTGACCGCTGCCTTCAGGGATGAGATAACTCTCTGGGTGCCTGGAAGGTGGTGTGTAGGAGCCATGCAGCTCCAATACGAGTTCTGAAGGCACAAGTGCTAGTAGGGCCCAGGAATACTGGCAAAAGCCCAAGAGGCCCAAGGAAAGCTTCTGGACCAAATTGACACCTCTGGGCCAGGGTCAACATTGTGGAGGAAGGATTCAAGTGAGTGATGGTGATGAGAGGAGCTGAACCTGGGAAGAGGCTGGATGTACTGCAGAAAGAAGAAGAGGGAGAAGGGGTTTCTCGTTCACTCATTCATTCAACAAACATTTAGTAAGCACCTGCTGTGTGCCCTATGCCCCAAGTGGCCAAATGCCTTTTCTCACAACCTGAGTGGGATAGGGCTGGGATTCTTTTCCCTGGGGCCTAGATGCCAGCATGGCACAGGCTAGGCCACTTGCTGGCAGGGAAGGAGGAAGGAGGAAGGCCATTTGGGATTCAGCCGTAAACAAGACAGACAAAAATCTCTGCCCTCATGGAGCTGACATTATCGTTAGGAGAGACACACAAGATACCTAAGTAAAATATATGTTAGATGGTGATAAGTGGTAAGGAGGAAAAATAAGGCAGGGAAAGAAGGGATAGGAAGAGTGTAGGTGATGTTGAGATTTTAGGAGGGGCGACCAAGGGGACCTGGTTTAGAAAGAGCATGAAAAAGACCTGAAGGAAGCGAGGGAGTGAACTGCGCGGCTCTGTGAGGGAAGAACGCTCCCAGCCAGGAAATAGCAGGTGAAAAGGCCGGGGGGGCGGGGGCACATGCCTGGTGGGTGTGAGGCTGGGCTGGCTGGAGCTGCGTGAGGAAGAGGACAGCAGTGGGAAGTAGGGCCGAGGTTAAGAGAGCTGGACGCATAGGACCTTCTAGGTCACAGGAACGACTCTGTTGGGAGCCAGACGAGTGACAGATCTGCCTTGGATGTTAACAGGATTTTTAACATCTTAACATTTTGACTGCTCTGTTGAGAATAGGCTGTAGGGGGCAGGGGCAGAAGCAGGGAGGACAGTGGGAGGAGGCCACTGCAATAATCCAGATGTTTTATTTCCCACTGTGCCCCCAGCACGTGGCATGTTTCCTGGCACAGAGCAGACACTCAACAAATACTTACTGAATGACGTGTGAATTAGCGATGCCCAAATACCAGTTCTCAGACAGGTGCCACGTAGGCTATATGGAAAAAGTGTAGACAGACAGATCCCGGGCACTGTTGCTGGGGATCCTGATCCAGTAGGTTTCTGATGGCAAAGAGGAATTTGGCTTTTCAGTACAGTCTGCAGGTAATTCTGGGCAGCAGGGTTGGCCTTCTGTGTCAGTTAGGAATGCTTTTGGCTGCAGGGAACAGAGAACAACCAGCAGTGGCTTAAACAAGAGGGTTTTATTTTTATTTACAAGAATTCTGGAGGAGGATGGCTGCTGGCATTGGCTTGGTCACGTGATGACAGGTCAATGTTTCAAAAATTCCCTTGGCCATTTTCTCATTGTAGCAAGATGGCTGCTGTGGCTCCAGGCATCCCATCATCAAGGTAGGAAGAAGGGAGGAGCAGGAAGTTGTTACCCAGTCTCTCTCTTTTATCAGAAAAACATAAGCTTTCCTAGGAGCCCCTGTAGACTTTGTCTTAAATTTCACTGGCCATACCTGGTCACCCCAAGCTGTGAAGGAGGCTGTAACAGTGAGACTCTGTATTTACCGCCTCTACAATGGGAGATGGCTGGAGAGAAGGAGTTGGGGCTGACCACTGGGGAGTGAACAAGGGTGTCTGTCTGCCATGGCTCCATGGACATGGTACTTGAGTTTCCTTCTACTTCTGGGGCTTTGTCTCCATGATTTGCCACCTCTGTGGAGCACCTATGGGGCCCACAGAGTGAAATCCCAAGCATTCCCTTGGAGGGGCCTACTTCATCCTCGATACTCAGTCCTGCTTTTCCTGTCTGAACAACACGCAGGGGACAGCTGCTTTGGGTAAGGGGTGGTCTTTATTTAGGGACTGTGCATTTTTAGCATTCTCTCACCTGGCAGACATTTAAAACAGTATTACCATCTTCTCACTGTCACATTTGAGAGACTTTTAGAGCTGCCGCCCCCCCCCGCAGGAAAAGGATGATGTCTTTAGTCCCTCTCCAGCCACCCAGTTAGGCCTAAGACCAGGATGATCCTTTCCTCCCACCTTTGGTCCAAGTATGAAAGGGCATCCCAGCGGTAGCTCTTTCTGGTAGCTCTGTGCCAGTCTTGGGGTGTGAAAGGAAATGCTTTTCTAGCACTGCCCTGCTACCTTGAATGATGGGTTTACAAAGCCAGAGGCAGGGATTTCAGGGGAAAAAGAAACAGGCCCGGTTTAGTCTCTAAATCTTTAAATATGGGATAGGAGCAAAAGGCTGAAACATTTTGGTCTCGCGTTGGGAAGGGCATTTTGAGGAAGAATGGGTGAATTCACTGGAGCTGGCTCAGGTGATGGAAACCAAATAGGGGTGGGTCCCAGGTGCAGAGGCTGGAAATGGGGACTCAACGGGACCAGTTTGGAAGGGTGGCTGTAGGGTCTTCAAGCCATTTTTTATATTTTCAGAAGCCTGTTGGAAATCACTTTATAATTTGCTCTTCATAGGCTTCGGGAAAAGGTTTAAAAGAAAAGTTTTGTGGGAGTCTTTGGCTAGAATTGCATCCGCGTGGTAAGAAATGCAGATTGGCGATTACATACATTTCTGGTCACATAACACAATTTGCTAGGCAAGAGCCTTCCCAGGCCTGAGGTCCCTGGGGTGGGTGGAAAATAAGGAGCCCTTGGGGGCTATGGTGGCAGGTGGGAATCTCCAGGGCAGAAGGCCGTGGGCGCGGTGGGGCAGAGATGGCCTCAGGGATGACGTTTCCAATACTGGCCACCCCTGGACGCTCCAGCCTTGCCGGGTACAGTGTGGGCCTCAGCCCAGCAGTCTAGGAACTTTTTAGCAATGAGAATCTCCGCCCTCACCCCAAATCTACTGACCCCAAAGCCGGTCTTTTAGCAAGATCCCCAGTCATTTATAGGCACTGTGAAGTTTGAGAAGCACTGTTCTAGCTGTCCAGTAGTGGAAGGGCTGCAGCCCTGGCTAGGTGTGGTTACAGGGCCTGGAGAGGGTAGGGCTGTGGAGAGGAGAAGATAAAGGCATGGGGTTGGGGAAAGGCTGGCAGAGTCTGAGAAAGAAGCTGTTGTCGTTAGACAGACCCGTCCTCCCCTCAGGCGGCTTGCAGAGCAAGCGTCCCGGGGATGCTCCGCAGAGCTGCCCCACACCGGGCTGCAGAGACCACCCCAGGCAGGGAAGTTCTTGGAGACCTCGGAGCTGGGCTGCCCAGAGAAGCAGGGCCCCATGGGGCCTGGGCAGAACGGACGGCTTGTCCAGCCAGAGATGCACCTGTCCCTTCTCAACTCTGCCAGAAAAATCTTGGCAGAGCTCAGAAGCCTGGTGAAAGTTTTCCCAGCAGTGGCTTCTTCTTGGAGCAGGAGGGATGAGTACTCAGAACGAAAAGGCTGGGAGCTCAGGAGCCCCTGTCTTCGGGGGGGTTGGGGGGAGGGCGGCCCTCTGGGACAACGCATTTTACAGAAGCGAGTGTGAACATCACAGATGTGTCAAGACCAGGGGCCCAGGGCTGCCGGCTACAGCAGGGCTGCAGGAAGGTGTGGGGACCAGGGGCGGGCTGCAGGGGGCGCTGGAGCTCCAGCAGCTGGCTCTAAAGCGCTCTCTCTTCACTGGTCAGGGTGGTGATTCTCCGCAGGTTTTCCCTGACTTTAATAAATTCGGGGGCATGGTCCTCTTCCTTTTCTGGTGGTTTTTCCAGCTGAAGGAGAGAGAAACAGAGATGTAAAGTGGGTGGGCTAGGGGAATCCCCATTCTCAAAAGCCACTGGGTTTGGACCAAGGGTCCTCTCTGGGGAAACAGAATGGGGATCAGTTTTGCCCCCAGCCTGGTAGCTGGGGGGAACAGAGCAGGAGACTGTTTTCTCCCCGTGAAGCCTGGTTCAGATTGCTAACCTCTCTTCTAAAATGGGAACACCACCGAGCTCACGGGGCAGTTGAGAGAAGGCAATCAGAATCAGCATGCAATAGATTGGGCCCATGAGGAAACTGAGGTTGAGAGAGAGGAAGCCACTGGCCCAAGGCCACAGAGCAAAGGGAGTGGCAGAGTGAGGACTCAGGCCAGGGGTGGACTCCTGGTGCAGTCCCCATTTTGCTCAACCTCGTGGTCAGCTGTGGCCGCAGGCAGAGCTCCTCCCTGGGCCAGGACAGTCTTGGAGGAGGCGTGGGCCGGGGCCGGGGGCCCCCACCCACCTGGCTCAGCCTCTGCTGCCGTTTCAGGAGCTCCTGCTCGAAGGGGCACTGCAAGCGCTTGGCCTCCAGTTCCTCCTTCTTCTTCTTGATGAGCTGGTTCCGCCGGCGGTGCTCCAGGACACGCTGCAGCTCCGGCTTGCTGTCCACGCCCAGGCCCCTGGGGTGGCGGGAGGAGGGGTTTGTTCGGAGACCCCCAACTTCTCCCCACCCAGGGCTACACCCTACCATTACATCGTGCAACCCTCCTGCTAGCCCCGGGAGGTGAAACCATTACTGTCCCATTATACAGGGAAGGGAAGCGAGGCTCCTAGGATTTAAGACACCGGTCCAAGTCACAGCTATGAAGGGACCGAATGAGGATTTGCACCTACGCCTGTCTAAGTTCAGAGGCCAGGTTTTATGATATTACTGGTTATTTTCTCAGGACGAGTTTCTAGAGGTAGAGCTGCTGGGTCAGGTGCTTTTAAAAGATTTTGGATACATATTCCTGTCTTGTTCCTTAGAAAAGTTTAGCCACTTTATACTTCCGTCAACAGTATACAAGAGCATCTGTTCCTCCCTATTGTCACTACCCGATCTTCTTGTATTTGAGAATCTGGTAGGCAAAAAATATCGGGTTTTCCTTTGTTTCTTTGATTGCTAGTCACAGGGACCAGCCTTGGAGATGTTTGCCAGCTACTTGCATTTCTTCTTTTGCGACCTAACCATACCTATCTTTTGTTCATTTTTTTCCTTATGAATTTATAAGAGATATGTATATATTTTTATCATTTATATTGCTAATATTTCCCCTGATTTGTCCTTAGGCTTTTGTTTAATTGTGGTGATTTTAAACGGGGGATGACTCTAAAAGGCAACCTGAGAAAATACTCATAATACACAGTCAGCCCTTTGTTTCCGCGGATCAAATCGGTGGTTGGCTGAATCCGGGGCTACTGAGGGCTGGCTGTACTTATGCCATTTTAAGTACATAAGGGACTGGAGCATCTGTGGATTCGGGGTTCTCTGGGGGGGTTCCGGAACCAACCCTCTGTGGATACAGAGAGACTACTGTGACTAAGAGGAGGGGGTGGGCACAACACGGAGGAGGCAAAGTGAGATCTGGGGAAGGGATGTTGCACACAACTGAAAACAAGAATGAAAATCACAGCCAGCGCCAATACCAAAAACGGCCAGTAGAGGGAGCTTCAAAGGCACTGCGGCCTTCGTCCTGGTGCTCTGGCCTCGGAGGGTCGGAAAGCTCAGCCTCCATCTCCCCTTCCCCACAATCCCTCTCAATAATCCAGTCGCAGCCCTGATGCCCCAAGCCTGCCTTGCTCATTGCATGCTCCTGGCCTCCTTGCTCCACTCATACCCCCTACACAACTGTGACACCCCTGCTTGAGACCCTTCATAGGTCCACATGTCTCTTCTGGCCTACCTTACAATCTTTGCTCCAGCCGCTCTGAGCTACTCCTGTCTCCTGTCCATTTGCACATGCTTATCCATCTGCTGGGAACATACTTGCTTCCACCGGCCAATGTCCCCCTCCTAAGCTGGCTGACTTGTGCCCACCCTTTGGGCCTTGACCTCATGGAGGAAGTGATGGTATCTTGGAACCCTGCCTGGCGGCTCCTCTGGGATCGCAGGCCCATTTATGGCCCCATCCAAGCACCCATCCTACCACCTGGTTATGCATCTATCTCCTCTGTGAGGGCAGGAACTGGGTCCCATTCCTTCTTGTAGCCCCAAGTCTGGGCACGGTGCCTCGCACATGGTAAATGCACCTGGAGGGCAGCTACAGGTAGGTAGCTGGGTGGGAGAACAGGGCTTTTGGACCTTCACAGTGTCTGCTGGTGACCATGTGGGGCGCCCTTTGACCTCCTCAGCCTCTAGGAGCCCCAGGATGACTACCAGGCCTGCCTTTCATGAGGGGCACCTCCCCGCGCCTCAGCAGGCCTGAGGCGGTGCTTGCCAGACTGAGGCAGCCGAGCTCCACTCCCACCTCCTGTGATTCATGAGCAGCTCTCGGTGCAGCTCCTGGTGGCTCCGGGAGGCCTTCACAGGGTCCACTCTCTGTATTCCTGGCCGGGCATCAGGCCTCCGATGTCCGCCCGCTCCCTCTGGATCTCCGAGTACATGGAGGCTGTAGAAGTGACAGGGGAGCTGGTCAGAGCTGGGCCCACAGTCTCACCCATTCTCGTGGGCACAGCTGAAGGGCAAGGGTTTTGGAGTTAGATGGATCTCAGCTCACTGTGCGGCCCTGGGCAAGCTACTTGCCTTTCTGAGCCTTGGTTTCCCCATTTGTGAGATGGAGATAATTGAGCCTGTGCACAGGGTTGTAAGGACTGGAGATGATGGCTGTAAAGTGGGGTATAGAAAAGTGCTACTTTTCTTGACGCCTAAAAGTGGGGTCACAAAGTGTATGGGTTGACGCGTGCAATGTTTTTGGCCTGACTTTGAAAAAACACTTTTCCCTCCTATAAAAGGAATTCTGTTTCTCATTGAGCTTGTATCAGAAAAAGAAAAGATATTTTAAAAGAGCAATATACCTGTTAAGGATAATTTGGATAAATGCAGTGATCAAAAGAAAATATCACCCCTTATTGTCCAACTTCCCTATCCGTAGTTCCAAATTTCCTCATGGACACGTCCAGCTTTTCACTTTCTCCAGACCAGGACTGCCATGTCTAATTACAAAGGGGTGAGAGGGGGAGTGGGCTTTTTTTTTTTTTTTGCGGTACGCGGGCCTCTCACTGTCGTGGCCTCTCCCATTGCGGAGCACAGGCTCCGGACGCGCAGGCCCAGCGGCCGGGGCTCACGGGCCCAGCCGCTCCGTGGTATGTGGGATCTTCCCGGGCCAGGGCACGAACCCGTGTCCCCTGCATCGGCAGGCGGACTCTCAACCACTGAGCCACCAGGGAAGCCCTGGGGTGGGGATTTTTGAGAAAAAGTCTCAAGAGGGTGACACAGACTGTTAGCTGCATGTAGTATTTAGAGTGAAAATTTAGGCCTTGGCTCTGCTCCCTTCGTGAGTCCCGCTTTTCTGAGGTTGAGCCTCTACTATATGCTAGGCATTGGCAACGTCTGGTCTGTTATATAGTAGGCACTCAATAAATATTTGTTGGCAATTTGTAATAAAAGCTTTGAGGTTGTACAGATGAGAAAACTGATGCTCAGGGAGGTTGGTCTTGGGGAACCAGTGCTTTAAGGCATGTGGTTTCCATGATGCAACTGAGGGGCTGTGTTCCCACTGCATACGTCAGGCTCTAGTCCCCCTCTTAAAAACCACCAACCACCATGTTGCCTGTGGACAGACCCTCCCACTGGGAAGAGGATGAAAGCCATTTTCTGCTTGATGAACAGGAGTCCTCCAAGTAAACTAGACAGGGATGGTGGTCTGTGCAAGAACCTGGAAGTGGGTAATAGGTCAGTGGGGTTGGAAAACACAGGAGGAGGGGGTTTGATGGGGTGCAGATTGCAAGGTGACATGTTAGGAAATGTGGGCATCAAAGGGGAGACGATGCTTTGCAAATGGTAGCACTCCAGACACACGTTTGGCATTTCTATTATTACCTACTGCCGGGTGCTGTGAGGAGGATTGAGACCCCATTTGTAAAGATGCTGTGTAAACTGAGAAAAGTGTTAATCTTGCTACATCCAAAATATCTTATAATAATTGTCAGAGCCTAGAGACATGGTCGCTAATTTTCTTTCTTGAATTCCCATTCTCAAAACTACGTCTAAAATGAGGATTCTAATTAATTTTCTCTTCTTTTTTCATAAGGCTCTTTGTTTTTCAGGTTATATCTTTCTTAATTATTTGGCCCTTAAAAAATGATTGTGGTAGGGTTTAGTAGTTAGTTAAAAATGGGCACTTGACAAAACAAACAGTTGGCTGTATCAACTCCCTCCTCCTTTAAAAATGTGGATATTTTCTTAGTCTGAGATTAAGTTGTTTGGGAGCCAGTGTGTTAGAATATCTTGACTCAGATTGGAGTTTGGGGAATTTTTCCCCCTTCCACTGCCTTTTCCCATTACCAAGTCTCACCAATCCTTTATCTGAGTAATTCTTAGCTGCACTCTTTCTTCCTATGTGCTCAGCTCTCGTCTTTCCCAGCCCATTATCACACCACACTAATTGCTTCAGCTCCTTGGCTAGTCGTCCTGCCCTTAATTCCTGTGTGCCCCAAACCTTCCAAAGCTTCATAATTTTCATCAGTCACACCATCTTTAAAACAATTAACTGTATGTTGCCAAAGCAATGAGGCAGGAAACAGAAATAAATTATATAACTTTAGGAAAGGAGAGGGCAGAATTAATACTTGCATAAGATATCACTGTATGTACCCAGAATTCCCAAATGGATTAACAGAAAAGTTTTTGGAACTAATGAGAAAATTCAAGTGTAGCCAGATACAAAACAGGTCCACAAAACCAAGAGCTCCTGCATAACAGGAATGGCCACTGAGAAAGTACACAATCATACAATTATTCATTCATCCTACCATATGTTAGAGTTTCTATAATCTGCCAGGTATGGTGGTAGACAGAGATGAACTAAACAGGCAAGGCTGCCACTCCCACAGAGCTGACATTCTGCTAGGGAGGCAGACAGCAAACATGTACACAAACCGGCAAAAATAAATGATTGCAAATCGCGAGGAGCCTGCTCAGGGAATTGGAGGTGTGGCGGGCGGCGCTAGGATAGAGACTAACAGGAGGACCCTCCTTCAGCCAGGCGCAGCAAGAGGGCCTCTCTGGAAGGTGACCTTTAGGATCTGACGGTTGAGAAGGAAGAGGGAGCCTGTGTGGGGCAGAGGGAACAGCATGTGTGACTCATGTACCTTGAACAAGCTTAGTCTGTTCAGGAAACAAAAAGGCATAGTGTGTCTGCAGTGGCGTGAGGGAGTGACAGGGGGAGAGCATGGAGTGAGGGTAGACGGGTGGTTTCAAGTTGGGGAAAGATCGCCTCTGATTTGATTTTAAGAAGGTCATTCTCACTGCTGTGTGGGGGAAAAACTGTGAGCAGGTTTTGGGAATTTTTGATATGACTTTGGTTTCTTTTACTTCCAATGGGCAGCCTCTGTCTTTCCCATTAAATTCCAAAGGTCATCCGCTTGCCAATGAGTTGGCTGCCCCAGGGCCAGTCCTCAGCCCAGCAGGGACCACACAGGATCGTGCTTACCAGGGGGTCCTGCGTTTTCATTTTGCACTGGGCCCTGCAAATTATGTAGCCAGTCCTGCAGCCCAGGTCCAATCAATGACCAGCTCTGGTTCAAGGATCTGCTCTAGGCATATTTAAAAAAAAAATCAGTGGTGAGGTGTGGCAGGTGATGTTTTGCTGAGACCAGGGTGGTGTGGTCATTGAGGCAGGAGTCCTGAAGGATGTGGCTGGTTCTTCAGCTCAGAGCTGCAACTTGGGAAAACTGCTGCCGTTGCCAGTTAGTGTCCGAAACTCCAGCAAGCACGTGTGAGATCCATGGGCGTGTGTGTGTGGCCCCCAGGGTTTAGACAGCTGCTGAGCCAACCTTCCTGCCTTTAATTTAATTAAAAGAGGCCTCCATGTAGAAGAGCCTCACATAGGTGTGTTGGAATAAAAGAGGCTGCTCAACAAAGCACAGGCCAGGAAAATTGGGCTCTCTTGGGGATCGGCTGGGCCCCCTGAGCAGAGGAGGGGTCCATTCTCAGGGCTGCTCTGGCCAGGTCTCTCAGGCTGCTGGGGTGTCCTCAGAGATTCGAGACTTTTGGGGAGGTGGCCGTGATGGGGCAAAGATGTGAGGTAAGGTGAGCGTAAGGTCATCTCCGAAAAGAAAAAGGTGAATGCCCCAAGGAAGAGCTGGCAGGGAAGAAGACCAGCTGAGGAGAAAGTTGAGTAGCTAATGAATGTCCTTCACTGGTTGTCAAAGAAAGGCAGAATAATGTTGGAGCCATTAGAACCTGGGTTGAATGCTGGCTCAGCCCGTTCCCAGCCATGGGCAAGTGTACCTATCCTCTGCAGCAGGAGTCCCAAAACTGTAGTCTTTGGGTCAAATCCAACCCCTTTGGAACAAAGCCATACCCACTCATTACTTATTGTGTGCGGCTGCTTCCTCTAGAACAGCAGCGTTGAGTAGGTGTGACAGCTGCTCTTGATCAGCACCATTCTTCATGAGGTTGTTACAAAACAAAGGAGATGATACTTGCATGGTGCTTGGCAAGTTAGTGCCTAGCACTGAGTCGAGGACTCAATAAGTGCTGGCTACTAGAGCTGCCACATACAGTGAGGCAGGTTGTGCACTGAACAACTCCAGGGCCTCACTCCTATAGATGAAACTATGAGTGGGGCCACCTCGTTAGCCGTTATAAATAAGCACTATTAAAATAGCCAACTTCTAGTCTTGGATTGAGCATTCTCCTTAAAAACTGTACTAGTTAAATCAGTGGATTTTAACCCTGGCTGCATACTGACATCATCAGAGGGAGTTTAAAAAATACCAATGTCTGAGTCCTACCCTGGGATTCTGATTTAATTGGCCTGGGAGACAGCTTGGCCTTTGGGATTTTAAAAAACTCCCCAAGGGGGTGGAGATAAGATAGCAGAGTAGAAGGACATGAGCTCACCTCCTCTCATGGAAACACCAAAGTCACAATTAACTGCTGAACAGCCGTCAACAAAAGAATGCTGGGTGACTGTACCAGCATCCTGGGTGGCGACCGAGACCCAGATATTTGGAGCTGCCGGATGTCACATCACATCATGGGAGAGGACTTTCCAAGATGGCAGAGGAGGAGGAGGCCATGGAGTTCATCTCTCCCCACAGACACATCAAGAATACACTTACAGGGCTTCCCTGGTGGCGCAGTGGTTGGGACTCCGCCTGCCGATGCAGGGGACGCGGGTTTGTGCCCTGGTCCGGCAGGATCCCACATATGCCGCGGAGTGGCTGGGCCCGTGAGCCATGGCTGCTAAGCCTGCGCGTCCGGAGCCTGTGCTCCCCAACGGGAGAGGCCACAGCAGTGAGAGGCCCGCGCGTACCCCCCCAAAAAAAGAATACACCTACAAATGGAACAAGTCTCACAGAGCACCTGCTGAA